TATTTTTATTATATATTTAAATATATTGATGAAATAATTAAATATAAAATAATACTGTATATTACTGCAGGGGCTATGAATACACAAGTGTGTAATACAACAAAAACAACGCCATATCAACTGGTATTTGGTCAAGATCCCCAAGCAGATTTATGAATTATCTCAATGCTTTATCAACAAAATATTGTAAATGAGGAAAATATTCTATTAGAAAATCAAGCATCAACTAATCAACCAACTCTAAAAACCGGTAATTTTCATATTAATATTTTTGTATTTTTTTTATTATAAATACATTTAATTTATAAATTTTTTAGAAGGATCTTTATTTATAAACAATATGGAGATAATTACAATAAATGATGATAGCGATAAAGAATGTAATCTTGAATCCAACAATTTAAATGAAGCCGATCTTGAATCTAACAATTCAAATAAAAGCGATCTCAATTCAAATGAAGATCAAATGATTATATCACGTAAAAATAGTTTTATCAATATTAATATTAATGATTCAAATTCATGGACAAAAAAGGAAAAGTAATATGCATTAGATCTGAATGACAATGTAAATTAAATACGATGTAATTTATTTTTATATTATCATTATATAATTATACAATAATATACTAATAAAGTAATATATTTTATTAACTCTGTAATTAATTATAGTGTAAAATTACAAGCTTGGAAAATTTAAATTCAAAAAGTTCAATTCAAGCAAGTTGTTCCTATACATTAATTGAAGATTCAGATCAAGAAAGTTATACACCAATTGAAGATTTAGATAAAACAAGCCATACTGATACATCAATTAAAAACCAATCACGTGCATACCTTGATTACCATCAATCTATACGTGATGTAGCAATACAACATGTTAAAAAAGCTGTCAAATTATTCGTAATATTATAGAAAAGCATCATAAAACTAAATGTCCCTTAATTTTTAATCCAGGAGATTTTGTTAAAATCAGAATTTCAGACATTGACAAACTAAAGATGGATAGGCATGCTTTACCTTGTAAGGTTATCCAAAAAAAGCCTAATCTTGATTCATATCAAGTTGGTTGTGAATTCAGAATTTTAGATAAGTGGTATCTGGCAAATGAATTAGAATCACTTGGTACAAGTGAATATTCAACACTTGATGTTATTCCACTTGGCAACTTTATCTCTTTAAGAAATGCAGCCATGCAGCAAAATTTGACACGTCCAAAACGTATAACACAAAATAATGATGATGATCTATCTATCCAATCTCAAACAATTAATCAAGTGAAGGAAAAAAAATCTAAAAAAAAATGACGGTTGCTATTGTAGTAAAACCAATTGCAAAACCAAAAGTTGTTTATGCTAAAAAAACAATGCACTTTGTACCAGGTACTGTGGTTGTGTATTGAGGGGTGAATGCAAAAATCATTAATAATTGCTATTAATTGTAGTATCAGTATTGCATGTGTATTTGATACGTAATTTTCATAGCCATTAATTGTAGTATTGGTATTGTATAACTTAGTTGTATTTGATATATAATTTTCATAGCAATTCAATTAATTGTAGTATCGGTATTGTATAGCACCGATGTATTTGATGCGTAATTTATTTTTTCACTTATTTAATTACTGGTAATTAACATGTAATCGATTTTTTTTAATTTTTTTTTTAATATTTTATATAAGCTAAGTCTATACGTAGTCGGTATGTTGCTATAC